AAATTGGGGCTTTGTTTCTAATCATCAAATAGACCATATATGACTCAAGGAGGGTAGTAGATTGCGGCTGTGGATGGCTCGGATGAGGGTGACAGCGGGACGGTGAGGAGCTCGGCTGTGGGCTATGCCGGCTTTGATGCTCGATGGGGAAGAAAGGCTCACAGGAATGGGAAGATGGAAAATTTGGAAGAAGGGATTTTTTGATTGAGGGTAATTTGGTCATTTTACATGGTCAAAGGGTAAACATGTACTTTCATCATGCTTAGGGTATCATTGTTCAAGTTTGCAAACTTGAAGGGTGTCTTTGTCTAAAAAACGGTTAAATTGTATATAGCTGTCAATAGGGCAAACCTCAGGGGGTGTCGTTGTAATTAACCCTTGATATAATGATCAAAACTAATGATTGATGTGACTCCATAAATAAAAATATAGAGAGAATTTAAAGAAAAATTGCAAAACATTGAAAAATTAAAAAATATTGTAATTTTGTTCTAAATTTTGTACCAATCAAATTCTTCTATTTGAGTGCCATGAAAAATACTGTCAAAACGAAAAAGAAGAAAAACTGAAAAGATAAAAGGAAATAAGTTATGAAAAAAAAAAAAAAAAAAAAATTTGAAGTATTTGATGAAAACAAACATGAATAATAATGATTAGTTGAAATTTTATAAACGTTTAGATCGATCGATTTTAAATCGGAATGTTAAATTGTCAAAATATCATTTCCCTATTTTTTTTTACCAAATCCTATAATTTCTCTATCAGTACACATTAACGATTTTATTCATGAGTATGTTTATGGTAATATTGTTTATTTATATCTCTAGCTCACAATAAAAAACTATATCTATATTTGAAATTTTTTAACATTAAACTCACTGTAGCTGAAGTTACACTATTCATCTATTTATAAACATCACCCCCAGTATCAAATCTCTATTCATCTATTTATAAACATCACCCCAGTATCAAATCTCTAGAATTCCACCTGTATCAAATCTCTAGAATTCTCGATCCGAGATCTTTAGAGAGCATTCCAGAAATTTAGAATTTATAACTCATAGTAGAATCTATCCATAATAATAGAATCCACAATTATCTTCTATTTTCTAAATGATTTTATAATATTCTATTGAACTTTAGACAATATAAAGACAATATGAACTAGTAGCCACCATTTAATGTCAGGTGTGTCGAGCTGTGGCCAAAACTTCACCTACTTTTGGACTAATGATATTTTAAGGAAGTTTAATATATTTTCAGAAACCTACAAATGACTTCTGAAAAATCAAAATTAATTGATGACACCTAATAAAAAATTAGAAAATCCAAATTTTCAGTCAATTGTCTTCTCCAGTCTCAAATAGCATAATCTCTCGAGTATTTTAACCCTACTTATTATCCCAGTCATGCTTATAGCATGAAATGAAATGAAACAAGCTTAAGTATCAAATTTTATACTAATTTATTATTATTAAATTTTACAAAAAGATTTTTTTTGGTTAATGACATTTAATTAGGTTTTTGATAGGGTTTGATTAGAAAAAAAAAAAAAAAAAAAAAAAAAAAAAATTCAAAATAATATATAATAACAGCATTTACGAGAAGGGAAAAAAAAGTTTGACAGATTTTTTGTTTTTATTTAACCATTACTCCTTATTAAATTAGATGTAGGTATGAAAAACTTTTCACACTTTTAAAGAGATCAAAGTAATAAAGGTCAAACGCTATATATGTGTGATAATTTGTCCAAATAGTAAGGAACGTCAGTGTAATTTACCCAATATTTATTTATGGGTCCAAAAAAATGGCCCTGGCCCATTGGGAGGCCCAAGCCCGTGGAGCCATATACAAGATTGCCCCCACTGATTTTTTATTTTTTATTTTAAATAATATATCCTATTAATTTACATTTTTGATATATACACCTACAAAATTACAATATCGCACTATCCCCTCACACAATTTTCTGATTCCGTCTTGCATGGCACTACTCAATCCGGTCCCATACGATAATGGAACAAGCCTGAGTAGTGTTTTTTACCTAATGGAAAATAAAAATGAGTGCATAAGCTACTGTTAGTCCAAGGACCAGCCGTTAAAAAGACAAAGCAAGTGTGATCGGGCTTGTGTGCATATAACATAAGGCGAAGGGGTCTCTATTCCTTGAAGATAGAAGAGAAAAGGCTTGTAACTAGCCATCTCCCTCCTCTCTGTTACCCGCCTCCGTGTCCCAGTATAATTATCATTCAATAAGTTGCTCCAGTCTAGTCTTAATTGGAATCCAAGCATCAGATAGAGTACAATAAAATATTCGTGAACTTACTAGTCACGTCCTACAACTTCATAAAAAGGCTTTCCTTTTAGGCCTACTTTGTTGAAGATTGAATGACTTTCTTTCTTCAGATTGAAATGGAATTCTAAATTATCCTAGTGGGGAGGCGCTCCCATTCTGTTAGAAAGGGAAATCAGATCCTTGTTTCTACTGGAATATAATGACCAATGGCAGACACATGCTATTGACTCATCAGGGGGGAGATCGCGTAAACCTAAATGTCGTATATACGGAAGAGTTCTTTCTGACTTCTTTGTCTGCCTGTTGTAGCTTGTGGCTTTCTTTGTTGGCTTAACCCCCTCCTCTTTCCGTGTGCTCTTACCGAAGTGAGCAAATTGCATGTAGAGATCCGTAGGGGCTTATAGTTTACTTGGTTGAAACGTACCGCTCATAACAGTTATATTGTAGGTTCGAGCCCTACTAAGCCTACCACCCCCCTCTCTTCACCTGATTCAATGAATGTCGATGCAAAATAGATTCCATGGCTGGTTTAGCTTGACTTCTCTTTCACTCAATTCCTCATGAGCTTCTTCTTCTAAGAAGCACCTTTCAGCCGATCTCAATCCCTAGAAAATGGATCACTGAGTCAAGCACGACAGGCACACTTGCTATATCTCCACCTACTGGGCGAATCTCACAAGCTATAGCTACGGGTGGTTTCAAAGGAAGTGTCAAACTTCTTTCTTCAACTTCTGCTACAAAGCCATTCGCGGGGGCTTCGAAGGCATAGCAATGGCCAGTTACTCGAGAAATGCTAACACGTCTAAACCAAAGACTACTGATCCCGCATCTGGCCTTAGCGACCTACTCCCTTGCACTATTTTCAAATTTGCTCTTAGTGCGTGGCTTTCGTGTGGTTGCCAAATAGTCGACATTGCCCTACTGGAAAGAGTTTTCAGTGTAAGATAAAGCTAAAGCTTGCAAAGAAGCCGACTCCCTTGACTCTCGTAATGTTTGCAACGAATGGTGAGCTTCAGATTCGCTTCTCCCATCGTATAGTGTTCTGATCTTTTCTTGATTCTCATTCTTTGAAATTCTCTTACAATAATTCAATTCACATGGTTTGGCTGGCTTCATCAACTCCACGAAGGGTATCGAGAAACTTCCTTTGAATCTTTCTGGTTCAAGTCCCTAAAAAGGCAAAAGTGGTCAATGGTTGTAAAACTTTTCCAACAGATTGCATCACTCAACACCAAAGCTTTATAGTGGTATCTCCTCTACGGATGATGATGGTTCTAGTTTCTAAAGGAACAAAATGGTGTGTAAGTGGTATATGTTTCTTGCATGAAAAGATAAATAAAATTTGCATCAACTTTATATAAATTGGCTACTAAGTAGAATACTTTGCCAATACTCTATATCATCATTTATTAGGGCATCTTAAAGGAGGGTCGGGATCAGTTACTTATTTCTATGGCTGCAACTTGGGCGAGCTAACCCAGCCCAGCCCAACCCCAACCCAGAAATTTTGAAATTTGGACATCCAATTCACAAATCGGGTTTATGTTCGGGTTGAGTTTTGTCAAAACCCAAACATATTCGGGTTGGGCTCGGGCTCAGTCGAACCTAACCCAACCCAAAACCCAAAATAAAAAAATAAAAAAAAAAAAAATTTCTCCTCTCTCTCTCTCTCAACCGCCATCCCCGCCACCGCCGTTGTCCCAGAAATAGAAGTACAGAAATAAAAATTTTCTTGTAGACATAATTGATACAAAAAAAAAAAAAAAAAACACATAAATAGAAGTATAGAAATAAAAATATATATTTTTGTTTTGCTGAAATAAAATGTAGAATACGGTGATTACCTCAAAATGCAATGCAATTTTTGTTACTTCATAATGAAAAATTAAGTAAAATTATATAAAAAAAGATCATAAAAAATTTCACCAAATAGGATTTAGTTAGCAAAACAAGAATTACAGATCTTGATTAGTTGAGTTAGAGAAAAAAATTAAGACAAAACCCACACATACAGCAGTTGCAGAGAGGGGGGGCAAGCTTGAGAGTTCAAAGACAGCTGCGAACGACGAACCTGAACCGGAACAGCGGGCGATGGAAACTGAAAGATATGGGTTTTGATTTTTTGAACAATCTGAAATGATATGCCAATCTGGGTTTTGATTTTTTGAACAATCTAAAATGATAAGCCGATGGGTTTTGAACTTTTGATTATTGCAGACAGATAGATGAAACTGAAATATTGGTTTTGAACTTTTGATTCTTGCAGACAGATAGATGAAACTGAAATATGGGTTTTGAACTTCTGATTCTTGCAGATTTTGTAGTTTGCAGTTGGAAAGAGAGAGAGGGCAAGTTCAAAGGGAATAGAGATGGAGGCGATAGAGGCTGAAATGATTTGCCCTAAAAATATTTTGTTTTTTTATAATAATATAATCAAATATATATAATATATATAAAATAATATATTATATTATATTATATATATATAAATTTCTGAAAAAAAAAAAATTAAAAAACTTAACCCGTCAACCTGACCCAACCCGCCCGAAAATATTCGGTCCGGATTATGACCATAACCCATGTTGCATACAATTCGGGCTAGCCCAACCCAACCCGATTCGGGTTGAGGTTGGGTTGGGACTGGGCTGGGTTGGGCCAGCCCAAGTTGCAGCCCTACTTATTTCCCATCACCAGCAAAAAAAAATTAAAAATGTAAATCATGCACAGACAAATGATACTGCAACATTACCTTGGGGCTTCACCAAGTTATCTGATATTCATGTCACAACTCAAATTTACATTATGATAAAATGTGCTTTTCCATTGCATGGCAATAAAGGACCATCCGATCCCCTAACGCTGAAATGTTTATTTTTCAGAGTCTATGTCTCTGGCCCCCAACTAGGTAGAATGTGGAGCTCATATGCCTCTTTTGGGAGAGTAGATTACTAGTGCACAGCAGCAATGCCAGCAAATGGAAGACCAGTCTATGGACCAACGCAAATCCAATGTGAAGAACTAGAAAACACTTCATTATAACTGGGAAAGCTCTTTCTAAAATTATTATACAACCTGAAAGTATGAATCTGCATGAGGACAAATCTGAAGCATTAACATTTTGTGAGGTGGATTCTTTTGAGCAGAAACTGGGAGCAAACTTTAGATGGGTCTTCGATTAGTTTGATCTTGACCTGATTTAGTAAGCATCCTTATTCTGCATACATAGTACGGAGAACTAAGAAAATGGACGGATAACCGAAGGTCGAGTGAAGAAAGAGAGAGAGAGAGAGAGTGTGTGTGTAACTACTAACTGGTCACATTGTCTAAGCCTTAGTTTGATCATAAACCCAACCATATGCAAGTAACTATGTTGGCTATGTCCTCTCATCTAGAAAATGGCAATTGTAGTTCAACTTAGTAATAATAAATCTGATGCATTAGAGAGCTTTCATGTCCCTGTGTCCAATCAAAACAGGTTAAAAGAAATGCAAAGGCCAATAGTTTATAGCATTAAAGGGAATTCAAAACATGGACATCACTTTTTAAAAAAATTATCTTATTCATAGTTCAACTGCATAAAACAGAAACGGAGAAAATGAAATATTCCTATTGTCCACAATATAACAGGAAATAGAACAAATAGCTGTCCCTGAAAAAGGCATAGACTAAGAAATCATCAACTGAAATGAAGCACAAACACTGGAATACATAACGAGGAAGTTTAAAGAAAACTACATTAAAATGCTCAAATGCAGACAGTGTGTGTGTGAGAGAGAGAGAAAGAGAGAGTACCATTATATGATAAACTGCTGTTATAGCTACTCATGTTCACATGTGATTCTCCTAGGACATCAGTTGGGCAGCAAACTTCTTAACCATGCGGATGTTTTCATGATGAAGGAATATCCAAGTTCATATATAAAACTTTCCAAATAAAGCAACATGTAAAAGCAAAGATAGTTTAGAAGGATATCTTCTCTTCATAGATTGGATGGTTGAGCATCAGAAGGTTATTGTTGTTTACAATAGCACGAACTAAAATTTCTTTAGCCTCCTCGCCTTTCTTTTTCAGCATGCTGCAGATCTGCAGAAACAATAGCATCCTCGCCATGATGTCTAGTTTTCTCTTTTTTTAATTCCACGTCTATGGATAATTAGAATGCATAATTTTTTGGAAGGACTGTGCAACTCATTCTATCAAAATATTGTAGAAGCTTAAAAGAATTACTACTGTTCCAGGGCATTGTAAAGAAAGGACCTTAGAGAATAACAGAGTACATAACAGTGATAACCCTCAAACTAACAAGAACTTCTCCTTTAGGTGTTATAGTTATTCTGCATTATACATTCAAGTTCACGATTCTCTGGTCACTTGACATATTTTGAGATCAAATGTAACCATTATTTGCTTTATAAAGCACTAATACTTAGCAGCAAATGGAGTTCATACTTACATCATCAAGCTCCTTTGTACAGGCCTCTGCCTTTTCAACATTGCCATCATTTTCTATTTCTGAGGATATCTCTAGTTCTGTCATGTTCATCTTCGGTGAAATATCAACTGCAGAGATCTGGCAATCATTATAAACATCTTCTGTGTTAACATGAGTCAGAGTCTTATGGTTGTAGACCTAGATGTATAAAAATAAAAAATAAATAAAAAATAAAATACTAATTTTCTGAATGTTATAACTTCATCCTTCTATAGGTCTCCGTAAATTCTTAAGCAGCCATCTTAAATGAAAAAGGACAACAGCTTCTTAGCTAAGCTACCTGCTTGCCAACAACTCTTTCCGAGGGTTCACTAAAATTTCTGAAGATTTCAAAGAGAAAACATATATAAGTGCAGTTAACATCACAGAAAAATAAGTTTAACCAAATAAATAGCCAAAATTATTATGGGACCTGCTTTCAGGAGGTGACTCTGAGAGACGTTTCGAGGGATTTAAGGTCAGAAAATCTGCATTTGGTTCCTACAAAATATATTATTATATACAACAGCAATGTATCAAATGACTTTCATATAATATTATTACCTATTGTCCTGTCATAAACAAAACTGCATTTTGGGGGAAAAGCAAAAACACAGAAGTATTAAAGGAGAAAAAAAAACAACCTCAGGTGTTTTCCGCTTCAGAGACGGGATTGGTGGTGTTTGCTTCCCAGAGCCAACAGAATGGGCCCCCTTGAAAGTTATATTTCCTTTTAATTCCATGTTGTTATCAGAATTTTTCAAGGATTTAATTTCTTTCTGACTTGTAGAACTTGGATCATGACTTGTTCCCATAGTCCTATATTAGGAGACATGGTCATTATAGAGATCACCCACAAAATCTACACAGATAATATGCACCAAAGAAGATGAATCAATTGCAAAATTAGCATGCTACCTTGAAATCTTCAAACTTGAGAGACCAGGTGTCCTCCTATCAACTTTTAAAGGAGAGGTTATATTCCCTTCATCACAAACTTTATTCAAGTTCTTAACAGACACCATGCTAGAAACCTGAAGTCTGGGATTTATATAATTCTGCGTGATAGATTTATTCGTCTTCTCAATTGAGCTGGGAGGATTTACCTCAGAGCTGCATCAGAACAGGTCCTTGATGCTTATTTGTACAATACAATGTTCCCCAAAATGTCACATGTATCAATTGAGAAATATATGACTATTTCTAGCAGATAACATAACCAGATGAACTAGTCACAGAACATACTATAATATACGATAAAATGTCATAGTCAATGCAGACATCTGTTTATGTTACCTAGAATTTATTATTAAGAACGAGGATATCAAATGGTTAGCTCTAAGATGAGAAGAAAAATTGTGAAGAAAATGAATAACAGTTATGAGGAAACTGCAGATAACAACAGTCATATCATCCCCCAGAATGGCATTTCTCACAAACATCACTATCTGAAACCTAAAATTTTTTTGTTCATTAGTAAGATCCTGAGAGGATATTCAGATTGACAAGAATAATGTTCCACGGATCTAGTCGTCTCTGACAAAGAAGCTTACCATAAGTCAACAATGTAAAGAATTAGTTTAAATGTCTCACCTGGAAGTATCAAGATCTTTACTGTTCTTTTCACTTTCACCTGAAACAGGTTTTCCTTTTGCTACTTCTCCATCAAGTGGCCTTGAAGAACCAATCAACTTAATCCTGTTTTGTGCACCATCAGCGTTGAAGGACTCTCTGCTAGAGATTATATGACACTCTGTCATTAGAAAACTAACAATGCAACTTCTTGCATTATTCCTAGACTTCCATAATCCAACCCCATATTTGTCAAGCAACAAAAGTCTAACAAAATTAAAGTGTAAAACCTTGATATAGAATGCAAATTGGTACAAAACCCTCACCTGATACTCTTGAGGCCCTTAATACTATTTCCACTTTCGGAATGAACAGGTTCACCTTTGTTTAGTTCTCGAGAATGTGACCATGGAATACCAGTCAAGTTCCTCCCATTTTCTCCATCTTTAGCATCAACACCTTCTCTATAGAAAACTATAAGGAACATTGCACCATTAAAACACTAACTGAGTCACCACTATGAAACAATAGCTCACCTTCTTTCATCTGTAGGATTTAGTTGCACACCAAATCTTTTGCTGCCAAATGAGGTATGTTTTGTCTGAGTTGATAATGCCTGCGGCGGCAGGGATTTAGTTTCATCTGATTTCTTGAAAAACTTTGACCGGATAACACCAGTGTCTTCTGCTTTCACTGAAATCAACTTATTGACCATGGTTCCACTGCATCAAATGAATAAATTCACATGCCATGGCATTTACCAAAGTTCTTCACCAGAATTTACAGTCACGCTGATGGCACACAGTATGCCCTTATTTCAATAAATTCCATCTAATATTAGTCTGACTAAAAACAATAGTGATAATTATGACTTAAAACAGGTATAAATGCATCTATATATTTTTTTAGTTCAGATAATCCATATATTCTAGTCCAACAAAAAAATTATAGTCTATTCCCCATCACCATAATTTGTTTCAAACATAGCTTGTCTACAAAATTGCATCAATAGAGCAAGGCAATTGATCGACTGACCAGCTCAATGGGGCCAAAAGGAGCTTTGAATTTGAATTCTGTTTTTCTCTGTTGATCACTGAGTCATGCAGTGATTCCTTTGAGACACATGTGAAGGAAGTATCTTCAAAAACTGAATCAGCCTGAGCTGGTTCAGCGTCAACTATACTGCCTGTTGGAGCATGATCTTCAATCCCAAACCTATTCCTTTCACCATCATTGCTCAGTGATCTTGCCATATGTTGTGGAGGGGGGTTCTCCAACTGCAATTTTTCTTGTTTAGATCCCAACCCAGCTACCAATTTGCCATTAACATTCTGTTCTCCATCTGAGCTGGTACTCACTTTTTTTACCAGAGAACTAACTTCCCCCTCTAATTCTGAGCCAGTATCTCGAGTTGACTCGTGGCCAGATGCAGATTGGGCAGAAATATCCTGGGTCTTTTCCAGAACATATGGTTCTGGGGGAATTGTCTCATCTGAGCAGTGATTTTCTTGGTCTTTTTCTTGTGTCCTGGTAGTACTAGTTTTCTCTGAGGAAGTTCTTGCTCTCTGTGATGCAACTAGATTTCCTACAGTTGCAGATTTTGGAGGGCAATTGTAATGTGCCACTGATTTCGAAGGGCAATCCTCACTTATGGGATCAAGATCCCCATGACCTCCAGGCAGAGTCTCAATCTTTGAAGTGGTCACACCCCCTGATACCGGAAGCTTTGAGGATACATCATCTACTATTGCACCAATTTCTTCATTCAGGTGGATTGCAGAACCTTGGAACTCACTTCTATTTGAAGCTCCTTTGCTATCTTGGTTTTCTTTAGATATTTTTTCTTCTTTCATTAGGTTTGGCCCAAAACCAAAACTATCCAACCTGAATTGATGAAAAAAATGAGTCGGATATGGTATACTGAAAATTAGATTGTGAGTTTATTAAGATATAGACTGTTACAAAATTCCAAGCCGCATAATTATTAAATGAAGAGATCAGAAGGAGCCTCAAAAAAAATTTACACACTTACTCATTAAAATCAAAAGAGAAGGTCATGCGATCTTGTTTGCCTTGGTGATTTCCAGTGGCAGATTCACCTTTAGATCTTTCCTTTCCAGTTTTGTTCAACGGGGAAGAGATATCAAGATCTGACATGTCTACTTTGAATGATGAAATCTTGTCAAAATCACCATCAAGACCAAAATCCATATCCCTAGAAAAAATAATAGCTTCATGAGTGTTTCAGGCGATGATAATTTAACGCAATAATCAATAAAATTGTTGTAGCACCACCAAGGCCTGTGGCCTAATAGAATCTCCTCTCCTTTTAGAGTGAAGGTAAAGGGTTCAAGTCTCCCCAATAGCATTGTGGGAGTTCTTTGCCAGGAAAAAAACAAGAAGAAAGAAGAATACAATTGTTGTAGTAGAAAATTAGTTTCGTTCCAAAGTCACATCCCTATGCATGAAAGTAACTGGTGATCAGCATGTAGCACGTCATTCAACAAGGGCATACAGCGTGTAAAACTGTGCAGAAGGAAGTGACAGTAAGCCTACCACAAATTTTCAGGTAGTTGATGCATCAAAAGCTGAGAATTTAACCAAAAGAAACCAAGCCAGTGTCACTTGCCACAGAATCAAGATATTACAGATGATATATCACCTTCAGAAAGGTCCTTATCCAGTTTTTATACATGCTGTACTGGGAGAGATGGAATGGTTATAGACATAAAGTTCTGGAATTATTTGTACAACATGGTTACTTCAAACCCAAACCAGTATTTTTTTTTTTTCCTAAGCATGCTTATATTAACCAACCAAAACAGCAACCAACAAGGAGGAACACCTCCCAGCTACAAGCAAATTAAAAACACCCACTTTCAAAAGTTGGCAAGCAGGAAAAGAAATAAGAAAAAATGCATAAAGGGAAACGCAGAACAAAGAGAAAAGAAAGGCAACTCCCAACCAAACCAACAAAGATGAACAACATCAACCCAAACTAGTATTAGCTCGAGCATTTTGCCTTTAAACCAACAATGGCCCTTTCTTTTAAATATTTTTCATCAAAATCAAAATAATTCAAGGTTTTTAATGGCACTTACAATTTGTCAAAATTGAATGTCTTTTTCTTTCCTTTGGTTACGGTGTTAAAGTCAAAATCCATGGCGTCATCTTCTGCCACAGACATTGATTTCCAGGAGCTAAGAAAGTCCTTCCCAATTTCCATATCTGCTTCAAGTATATGTAGAAACTCATTAGTTGATTATCTTCTACTCGAGAAATGACTAAAATTTGAAAAAAAATAAAAAATTGAATCTGTTACATTGCAGCATGTGAACGCAATATGCAGCAAATATTGAAGGTATGCTGTACAAATTACTGAGATCTACTTTTTAGCTATACATCTCATTTGTGCATTTCAACTATTTTTTACTCCTTACTTCCTTGAATATTGTCCTTGCTGCTCCATATCCTTTTTAGGTATTCCATCTAAACAGTAGCACTCTAAAATTATCATCTACCTCAAAATTTGAATGACCTCAAAATTTGGCAATGCAACTGTGAGACAGATATGTGAATGATCTCCATTATTTTTCTATTGTATAACTATTATTTCCATAGCAAGGATCCTAGATACACTAAATTGACAATAATTATTGGTTAGGAGACTAAAGGGCTATGAGCATAATACCCAGAAGTGAATCTTTCTCTTTTGAATTGACAGATGAAGAAGCTCCCTTCTGAGATTCTGCCATCAGCAATGATAGATTGAACTAATACTTTAGTCCTGCAAACATTAAGGAAACTGTCAAACATGTAGTAATTTTACAAGGTTCAAAAAATCCACCCCCCCCCCCCCCCCCCCCCCAAAACCCCAAATTTTATTTCTATATTATCAACTTGTTCTGAAAGCATAACATCATAAGAGAAATAGAAGATCTTATCACCGTGTAATTGCACAAGCACAATCATATGAGTGCCTATTTTACAGCGTTTAATTGCACGAGGTTAGACAGGCCTATGAGCAGGGGTGAGCCAGAAATTTTTAGTTGCGGGGCCAAATTTGTATTAAGAAAGTATAGAGTTTTCTTTACAACATAATTTTTGAAAAGTAGATCTAAGATTATTTATAGATTAAAAATATTCCATAAATTACTAACTGTATGAAATGAGAAAAATAATCTGACAGGGGTTATGTTTAACAATAGAAATTTCCTTCAAAAGTGGACTCCCAAAAATAAGAGCTAAATGACAAAAGTAGATAACAAAAACTTTTTGGAAGGGCCACATATTTAATCTTTCTAATATTTTGATACTCACTAGGTAAGGACCTGTGTTTTATGATTTTCCATCAATTATTCTCCACATAGTTATGCCCGACTCTAAAAAACCAATTAGGAGGTGAGCAGAGACGTCGAATATTTTGGGGAGTCGTATTACCTTGTAGTTTAGCATATAATAAATTGACCGTCTTTATGACAGATAACAAGATAGCAACTGATAGAAAGTAGAAATTGCAAAAGCAAGTCTAAGTTGAATCGTTCATAGTACTGAACCTAGCATGAGTAAAAATGTGGCACATATTGTTATTACAGTGATCAAACTTCTTATTTTGGTATTATTAAAAACTATTACATCACCTCAGGAAAAGCCAATAATTTCTCCTATTTCAAACACGGTAGCTTAAACTTACCTAAATTATGATCCCTACTGGTTTACTACACACGCTGAATCATGACAATTCCTCCTCCATTGCAGTTGCTCAAACAAAAGAAACCGTAAAACAACTCAAAAAGTTGAGCCTGATACAGCTAGATAACTTAGTTGAGCCATGTTTTATTGCCAAATAATAAAATTAATTTCCTTACAATAATGATGGCCGTCAAAAGGATAGATTCTTAATTTTGACCAATGATTTATATCGATCTATCATATCTCTGGATCTCAGAAACAATATCTATTATGCTGGTTACTGGAAAAGAAAGGCCAAATTAAACTAATATTTAGAAACATTCAATGAAAACTCACCAGTAGAGATCAAATGTAAAAAGTAAATTGTAGCATCGAGGCAACGAACTTTATTTCAAGCATTTCTCTAAGATCAACAGACAGAGGCATTACGAATCTATATAACCTAAGTTTTCAAACAAAAAAAAAATTATCGAACTGAAATTTTCAAAGATTTGAAGTGCGAACTTACAAAGTTTCTAAAATTTCATGATAAAACGAACGGGATTCGAAATTAAAATGATAAGAACATATATATTTGTGTATGCATATTATAACCTAAGTTTTCAAAAAAAAAAAAAAAAAAAAAAAATTACCGAACTGAAATTTTCAAAGATTCAGCGAATTGACAAAATTTCTAAAATTTCATCAAATTCGAACGGGCTTCGAAATTAAAATGATAAGAACAGTGATATTCGTCTATGCATATTATAACCTAAGTTTAAAAAAATAAATAAAAAAAATACTACCGAACTGAAATTTTCAAAGATTTGAAGTGCGAACTGACAAAGTTTTTTAAATTTCATGAAAATTCGAACGGGCTTCGAAATTAAAATGAAAAGAACAGAGATATTCGTACACTCACAGAGAACTTCGCCTGGATTTGGTGTGAATCGTGAGAATCGAGACTGATTACTTTAGAGGAAACGGAGAGAAACTCCTCATTCAGACGGAGAAATGGCCTTCCGAAAAGGTACTTGTCTCTGATATGTTCGAACTTCGAATGCGTCCTTTATATATAGTGCATAGTGAGTAAAAATGTAAAATAGGTGGAAAAATACGGGTATAATATGCTTTTACTGTATAAAAAATTCAGTATAAACAAAAAATACTGTATAAAAATTCAGTATAAACATAAAATATAAAATTAGTAGTACTAACAGATATGTTCGGTTTATTTATTTAAAATTTTTTGAATAGACATGTACTAAATTCTCAAAATCAATACTACCGTAAAGTATTGAAGTTTGGCTAAGGGGGCAAGTTCTATCAGTGGCGGATCAGGAAATTCGATTTGGGGGTATGAGTATAAAGTTTACAAAATTTAAAAATATAATATATTTTTTCTTCACATCAGAAATTCTAATATATATTTTAAATGAAAAAAAATCAAAGATAAAATTTTTATAAATAAAAATATTGAAAAAAAATATATCTAGTCAATTTTTATAGACATTTACAAAATGGACCAAAAAAATAAATAAATAATAACCCAATCAATATCCCAAAGATCTAATCAAGAACAAATTTTTGTATAAAGAGGCTTCAGGTATGTTCTTTTTGAAATGAATTCTCCCCATTTTACAAATGGAGTGGACCGATTTTAAATTCAGTAGTCTTGTTCGATATTATATTATTGCTGAATCAATTTGAAGACCAATTGCATTAAATTCAAAGGAAAGCAAACAACTTAAATCATAGGGTGCCTAGATACACTTAAAACATAATTTATTTGCTTCTTGATCATTTAAATTATATTTTGCCAAGGAAAAAAAAAAAAAAAAAAAGGTATAACTTGGACATTTGGATGGAATTTTTATATACATTAATGGATATTTCATTGGACTAAAAGTTTTTGAGCTTTGATAGGCCAAATTTCATGTGAGTTTGGACTTTGGAGGGGCTTATAACAAATTTGTGTAAGCTTGAGGGGGGTGCAAATGATAATTTTTTGCAAGACAATACTTAAAAATAGGCCATTTAATGGTCCGCCCAAAGTTCAATACTTGGTTCACTCAGGTTCTTTAAACAGAAACTATTAATGAAGGAGATAACTTATGATTGCACCAATGATTTAGGTTCAAGAAGACAGAACTTTTGCGTATAAAAGTTGCTCGTTTATGGTTTCTAAATTCAATTTATTGGGCATGCCATGATTTGATTTAATAAGTTTTATTCGAGCTGTTATATTGAGGTTTAATAAGGCTACTTAGCCTTTGATCATTGGGCTTTTGAACTTACCAAAAAAAGGTGGTTGGGTTTTTTATGCTTAGCCTTGATTTTTTATTTTATTTAAGGATCCAATTTAATACTTGCAAAATTTAATTTATGTAAATTAAGTGTAACGGGGGGTTACACCTATAATATTATCGTGATATTATATAATAAACACACACTAACCGTCTCATATAAATTAAATTTGATAAATATATCGACAATGAGACTCGGTCCCACAAGTTTGGTAACTTATCTTCACAAAAAGGACCGACAGGAGGAGTTGCACTTGGACGGTTTGCACACGCCGGTGCTAAAATGTGTTTCTACGTCTCTTCTCAACTCACTTTCTAAATTTGTTATTGTCGTAAAAATTGTAAATTTCTTAAGTGTTGGATAATTATAATTTTTGAATATGTTAATTACTACCATAAAATGTAAATAAAAATCAGAAATTTCCACACCATTATTTGAGGTAGTTGGTGGAAGTTGGCACAGGTCAAAGGCCAGAGAGTAGGTGAGATTCCAGCATTCTCCACGTCGTCTCTGCAAACTGAGCATTGAATAAACTCCTCTCTCTCTCTCTCACTCTCACTCTCACCCCCCACTTTATATCTCTAGGTTTGGTGCGAGCGATCTATAAATCTGAAGTTCCATCACCAAACCAATCATGAACCACCAAGCAAACCACCTAATTCCAGCAAAGTGCCCACCACCAATGGAGGTCAAGCTATCGGAAACCACCGTCATTTATCCCTCTAGAACACCTTTCAACCACGACCATGTCCTCCCTCTCTCCCACCTCGACAACGACCATAACCTCCGTGTTACTTTCCGTTACGTCCGCGCGTACGTTAGCACCAACCACCACGGCGACCCCTTTCAGGTAATCACCACCGCACTCTCCGACGTTCTCGTCTACTACTATCCTTTCGCTGGTACCATACGACATCGTGACGGGGACGGCCGGCTCGAGCTATATTGCACCGTTGGCAAAGGAGTGCCAGTCATTCAAGCAGCTGTCGACTGCTCGTTGGAGTTGATCAACTACCTCGACGACTCGGCTGAGCATTTTCTCGAACAGTTGGTGCCCAACCCCAATTCAGACGAAGGGCTTGTCAATCCCTTGATTTTGCAAGTCACCATGTTTACTTGTGGCGGGTTTTGTCTCGGGGCTGCTGTGCACCACTCAACGTCGGACGGACTCGGTGCGACTCAGTTCTTCAACGCTGTGGCTGAGTTAGCTCGCGGGACGACTCGGTTATCGGTCGAGCCGGTTTGGGACCGGACGAGTTTGCTTGGTCCGAGAAAGCCGCCTAAGGTAGAGTTTCCTGTTCAGGAAATTTTGAGCTTGGATAAGGGCTTTTCGCCGTACTCGCAGTCGAGTGGACCGGTTGTCAGAGAGTGCTTTCCTGTGACGGACGAGTGGTTGGACCGGTTCAAGGAGTTACTGCGTGAACGGTCTGGTTCGAGCTTTACGACCTTCGAAGCTTTGGGCGCTTACATTTGGCGAGCAAGGTATGTTACATTATTTAAGTGTTGTATGCAATTGCAAATGACTCACCAGTCAAAAAATTGGTATATTCTAATATTGACAGTGATTTTACATTTGGTTAGTGTAAAGTAATAGGAACAAAAAGATAATATATTAGTTGGAGCAAAAAGAAAGAAAAAGAATTAACAATTTTCTGTTGTTGGGATGACTTAATTGGATTATTGTATAAAAGAGAAAAAAGAAGAAGATATTAGTAACTCTTTTGTTGTTTTAGTAAAAAAAAATAAGGATTAAAGAAATGAAATTAGTAGTGTAAGGGGCAGGAATTGATTTGTCATTTCCTTTAATTTCCTTCCTACTTATATGAGAGATTTCATTTTGTTGTTATTTATTCGGCTTCTGTATGATTCATATTTTCCCCCGGAAAACAATTGTCTGTGGAGAACACTTTGTAAATTAAGTGCAAAAGACTCACCATTGCATGTTTCAAAAGAAGAATTGAAAATCCCTTGCGGTTTTTTTGGGAATTGCAATTGTTGCATCATGATTAATATAGGATTTGACAAAAATCCAATGTAGCTGAAGAGGCTGTTAGAAATAACGGCAACAATCTCATGATGAGTGATGAAATTCTGGAAGTATGTTTCATAAAACATGAATTGGTCCTATAGTCCATACTAAGAGGATGCACTGACATCTCTGTATTTTTCACTAGCCTCATCTGGAGCAATAGATATTTTTAATGTTACTAGGTGTAGTATAGCCATTCACATGTCAAGAGTAAAGTTGAATTTGATGGAGGGCACACTCCTTTAGATGGTTACAGTTTTTTTTTTTATTTTTTTTATTTTTTATAATTTAATTCTATATTTAAAAAAAATGTTTATGATTTTCCTCTCTTCTTTTCTTTATGCAATAGGAGTACTTATTGGCTTAGGAAATTTGGAAGCTTATTTGTTATATGACATGAGCACTGGACTAGAATCTAGATTGTTGAACTGGGAATTTTTATTGATGGAACAGGGTTAAAGCCTCTGGGGTTCCAGGTCATGAGATAGTGAAATTTGCCTACTCCATCAATATAAGAAAGCTAGTGAAACCCCCACTACCAGTAGGCTACTGGGGCAATGGATGTGTAGCATTGTATGTTCAACTCAGTGCCAAAGACTTGGTTGAGCAGCCCATTTGGGTAACAGCCAATCTGATAAAAAAGAGCAAAGGCAATGCTACCGATGAGTATGTGCGCTCATTCATCGACTTTCAGGAACTAAATTATGAAAAGGGGATCACTGCTGGAAAAGGAGTGAGTGGATTCACTGATTGGAGACACTTGGGCCATTCGACAGTGGACTTTGGTTGGGGAGGACCTGTAACTGTTTTACCGCTCTCAAGACACCTTCTTGGAAGTGTTGAGCCTTGTTTCTTCTTGCCTTATTCTTCAGCAACTGAGGGGAAAAAGGATGGGTTCAAGGTTTTAGTGTACGTCCAAGAATCTGCTATGCCTGCTTTCAGGGTGGAGATGGATAAGTTTAGCATCCAAGAGTTTGGGTCATCTTGATGTACTTTGCCATTCTTCTTCCTTGTTGTCTTGTTCTGGAGTTTGGCTGACAATTGTCAAACCAAGACAAAGAAAATTTATGTTTTGTGAAAATAATTGCTGGAGAGAAACACAATCAACAAATAAAGGTTTCTTTGGTGTTTTAGTTTATATAGGAGGATCAGTTTTCTCATGTTTTCCCATTATGACTCAATAGAAACTGCGTTGTAGAATGTGGTTGCAAAGATGTCAGTAATTTTGTTCAATCTTTTTTGTTCGAGTACCAGATACAAATGTTATAGTGTTGGTTTAAGTCACTTTATTTACAATCTAAATCTATGAAGTGTTTGGAGTTCCTCCTTTAAGTTCCTTTTGCTTTACTGAAATTTTTTATAGTATTATGTTTCAAGTGAGTTGCAAAGCTACTTTAAAATTTCACAAAGCAGTGACAGAACTTTCATTAATTATATCCTATTAATTTGCATCTAATGAAGCAGTAGCAGAAAGCAAATACTAAATAAAATTGAGAAGCTCAGGAAACACCAAGAGACTTTTCACTTTGAAGAACAACTTTAGTTTGCCAGAATTCTCGGAACTTCTTCAGCGGCTATCTTGGCTTCTCAACTGTTTTTTCATTCTGCCACCTACAAGTCCCCTCATTCACTCTCTCTCCATCTCCAGGTATCTTTATATATATATATATATATATATATTAATATGTATGTGCTTGTATGTATGTACGTATTTGTGTATGTATAACACCATAAATAATCTTCTCAAGCTTGCACTGTTGAATTTGGGTAAGTATGAGTTGTATGACAGGACCTAGTTTATTTGTGGTTACTTTTCTTCTTCAAATTTGATGTTCTCTTCATTCCTTGTATTTGAAGAAGATAATAGATGAAGTTTTGCAGAACATCATGTAGTTTTGGAACCAAGCACATTTGTGATTTAAGGTCACCTAGTCTGAAACCAAGTGGATTTATTTTTTGGAACATTTCGTAATCCAAGACAAGAGGAATGTGGGCTGATTCGCTACTTTTTGCCAGGATTCAAATTCAGAATAATGGTAGGAAGACCTATGGAGGAACAGGAATCCCAGTCAAGAATGGTAGATCTCAATTCCATGTTTCAGTATGGAGTTTCCTGATCTGGATTGATATAGTCCAAATATGATTTTGACATGATTTTTTACTTCAATGTGAACCAAATTTAGTTCCTTTGTTATCCCACTAGTTATTTGTTTCCAATAAGTTAATTTTCCTGCATCCTTTTATAATCAATCTCTTGGGTATCATTTTAAAAGTTCTTGGGCCTTTGGATGCTAATATTCTTTATATTGAACTCCAAACTTCATGTTTTTGTATAAAATCTTGTGAATCTTATACTGACAATTAATAAACAGTTTATGTAAACAATTCTAGATACTCCACTGTAAATGATCTGTTGAAGTTTACATGTAAAATATTATTTATGACGTGTGAAAGTAAAAAAATTCAACATATCTAACATAATCAACAATTTGCATTTTTTTTTGTTTAAAAATTTTCAACTTATCTAATATAATCAACAGTTTGCATTTCTTTTTTGTTTAAAAAATTTAAACTAATCTAATATAATCAACAATTTGCATTTATTCTTGTTTAGTTCTGGAATGTGGCAAATGTGTATAATGTCGATTGATGCAACCATTTTACCTAACTTGGTGGAGGATTTAATCATTCCATACTGTTTGAGAGAAAAGTTTTTCTTATTGCTAATTTCTTGTCACAGTTTGTGCTTCAATTTAAGGTGTTCTCTCTCTAAATTCATTCAATGAACTCCTTTGGGGATTTTTTTTTTGGAGGCCATGGCCCACTTTTTTCCATGTTTGCACCCTTCCATGTGGCCATGTGTATGGTTCTTAATTTGTCTTCCCATTTTTAGATACCTCATAATGTCTGCACTTGTTTGCTTAGAGGTATTAGTGCAGGGTTTCTCTCATGAATCACTTGCCATCTAGGGTTTCCTTACTGATCTTCTGTTTGTCTCTTTGTATCAGATTTGTTCAAGTTGGCTTGATACCGTCACCGACACGGCTGCATCTTTTGGCTCTATAGTTAACTTAATACTATTCTACCATCAGTCATTTGAAATTTTCTTCTTTTCCTATTAGGTGAACATACTAGTACCTTAGTTTCGTATTGCTACTTTTGTTAAACTAAGATTTGTGCAATCTCAAATTAGACCATCTCTTTCAGGGTAGCGTCATTAAGTAATAGAAACACTGATCATAGTTCAACATTTTTTACGTGAAAAATATGGGTAGCGCCCTACTAAATGGTACGTCTATTATATTATAGACTTAGAGAGGGGCGATTAGATCTTCTTAATGTTTCTTTTACGCTTGATTTTCTCAGCATGCCATTCATTTGCAACAGTCTGTTACAAGATATTCTACCATGCAGTCAAAGTAATACAGAAAACACACGAGTTTTTATGTACGTGGAAACCCAATAGGGAAATTTTTTGGGAATTAATCCAATCAACCAGATCCACATGGAGAAGAAAAAGTACCTTGTTACCAGCTGACCGCTAGTTACAAATTTCTCCTTTGAATCAGGTGCTGTTAATTTCCTTCTTGTTGATTTACCTTTGACATACATACTCATAAACCACCCGTTGTAAGCTCAATTGTTGATCTTCACCTCATCAGTTGCTCCTCACAATCTGCCTCTTCCCAAAATCCATCATCAGCATCTGATGTGAATTACTAAGGACCTGTTATTATGAGTAGAAATGCTGATGGACTAGTCTTTGAGAAGATTAAGTTGCAAGTATATAGCTTCTCTGACCGATAGTATGAACTCTTTAAGAATGATCCACCCATATACAACTTTGATCCCTCAAGAACTCACAATAAGCTCTCCTGTGTGCAAAGGTCTGTATTTATTTGAGGTAGTTTTAGAATTAACAACTATATACCATTTATAGAATTTCGATCAGTCCACAGCTTTAGTTTAATCAATCCATAACTTCATGGTGAAAGTTCGATCAGTTGAATGTAAGCTCGCTCCATTGAGAGCTTTTGATTCATGTTCAATCAATCGTTCCATTCATTCAATTATTCTAGTAGTTTATGTGTAATCCAAACTAGTCAAAATAACTTAAAATAATTCATTAAATAGGATCTACTAGATCTTGTGCCAGGTCCACAAAATCAAACAGGCATCATAATACCCAAGTCCAAGTCATTTACCATTGCTAACATGTGAGATCAATTGCATTGAAGAATTACCTAACGGAACACCCTGACAGCACATCTTTAATCATATCTCTTCAATCCCAAGTGAACATGGACTCAATAATATGGCCTAATTTTATAAATTTGTTTACGGCTTTGTCCATGAAACATCCATTTTACTATGTCCTAGCAGTTTCTTACACTCTCATTCAACGACATACTAAGGATACTACTTATCAATTTTTGTTCAGTTGAGTGTTGAATAGGGATAACTAACTCATAAATAGGATATATCCAACGTCTAATTTGATTTCTTCGTTAGCAGACCGTCCTTCTTATTCATTTTTCTAGTCATCTGTTATGGTTATGACTCTACCTTGTAGAGCTCTTGGGACTGAATTATGTCATGTGATGTTACAATCCATTTTCCTCGTGGATCATTTCTGCCTATATCTATCTGAAATGTCGTATTATAGATCAATGTTCTATTTCCTATTAACAACTGTATCTTGTTCAGATCAGTTTTATAGCCCTCCACAAATGTAAAATCTGATCTAACAGTTACATGATTTTGCAGAATGGTAATATTATGAATCTGTGTAACTCATAACAGTGTCCACCACTTCTTTTCTCCAAAAATCTAAAACAATGATGCATTAACCTTGCATCTTTGCCAATCAACTAATTTGCCTTTAATATGTGAACTCTACATCAAGTTGTCAATCTTTATAGCTAATATAGTCATGTGGAGACTTGTCAAATCAACCATCATTCCATCCTTCCTTTTAGAAATTTTGAACCGCCTCCTTGGAAACTTTCAATCACAGGCTGCAGCACTGATGGAAGTGTCATCCAGTTGTAAAGTGGAAGAGGAACCTGAAGTTGATCCAGAAGAACTTGCTAAGTTGCACCATCCATTTTCTTTTGAAATGTAACACACAGGTTTTCTATATAGTCTGTTTGCTGTAGCTTACTTTATTTGGTAATTTTTGAATTTACAGGTAAAAATAGCATTTGTTAGAAATCTTCCTACCGATGCTAATGAAAATTACCTGAAGGAGTTATTTGAGCCTATTGGAAAGAGGTGATGTTTTACAATCTTCTCTTTATATATAATGACGTGTTTAAGAATTAATTATTGCTTTAAATCACTTGGATGAAGTGGTGCTATCCAAGAAGAGTTGCTCCCCAGTCAGGTTCATTCACTTTGCTTTACGATCAGTAAGTTGCATGCTACTTCTTATATTCACTCTTTTATCTTTTTCCTGCAGTATCTCTTCAACTGAGTTTAGTCTTAATTCTCGAATTCGGGGATAACATTTATGTTATAACTCTCCATATTTTCTGTGCATAGGACCTTGACAATGCAATCAAAGAAATGAATGAAAAACACAGTCCGAGGATCAAATGGGGGTCCCTCATTTAAGCTCATGGTAATTCCAAGCTAACAACTATCCTTATGTTTTAAACTCATTGATTTGCAATGAATAATTAAGAACATAGAACATATCTATCTTGGAGTTGGAGGCAGATGAGTATTATGTTAACAGGTGGAAGTTGGAAGGCCTATAGACACCAATCGGAAGCGAGCTTATGATGATCCTCAAAGCAAACCAGCCAGGAAAACTCCAAGTTGTTCCAAACTTCCAAGGGATGATATGATCTCCAGTCCCTCTGGTGGTTCTAAATCCGAAGCTCCAAAAGTGAATTATTCACTGCAGGTTGATTTCTTGTTTTCCTAATATATTTTATTTTCTGTGTCCTGTATTACTATGCTTCTGAGAATTTAGGTTTGTTTCAACCACTCCATTTTACTGTGAAAATATATAATGTGTTGTACAAAGATGTGTTGCCAAACATTCAAGGTAATTTAGTTAATACTTGGCGTCACTTCTCAGTTGTATTGGACCCCCTTTGGCTGAGCTTCCTAACAGTAGTCCTTCCACAAAAGCCCTTCACAGAAGAACTTTGTTAGAAGGATTTCAAAAGATAAAAAGGTATTTGGTGAACAGATTTTTTTCAAAACTAATTTGAAAAAAAATTTGAAAAAAAAGAAGTCAATATACTTGTATAAATTGCGTTTGACGATGAAGTAGAATAACTTCTACTTGACAATATTATCCTTTAGTTTTAACCATTAATTTAGTTCCTAGTGTTCAAACCGTTAACAAACAGATATGAGATAAATCAAGTATAGAATCAAAGTTGTCAGTGAAAAAATCTTACAGCTTGAATCACGCTACAGTCACGTGCATGTATAGATATTGCAATATATAACCCTAAGAACCGAAAGATTAAAAACACTGAATTAATGAATGTATTGATGAAAGACTTTAACTGATGTCTGATATTTGTCCATGAAGTAAAGTCTTTTACGAGAAAACATCATCATAAAAAAGATGAGTACCTATTTGCGAATGAAAACTTATTGATCAAACTGAAACATTCCTTCCCCATGTTTTTGACGCCTTAACCTGGGCGCTGACTTCTGAGAAAAATGAAGTTTTCTCGGCTGCGTGCCCTTCTTTCTTCTGGAGTACATAAGTTTACTGAGTTGTAGACTCTTTCTAGAAGAGCAGGGTCTCCAACCCGGTCTTGCTTTCTTTCAGTGAATGGCTGCTCTCTTGACCAATTCTATAGCCCAAATACACTCCATGCTTCTACTGGAGCTGCAGAAGGGGCAGGTATATGGTCCGTAATCCTACTCTTTAGCCTTCGTGGTAAGTTCACTGAGTTTGATTTAAGGGTTCGGCAGTGTCTCACTAAATACAGAAATGGGTGTATCCTAGGATAAGTAATAGTGGTACAGGTCTGCTTTTCTGCCTTTGGCCAGTTGAGTCCTTCTCTGGAGCCCTCAATCAAGTGGCTGCGTCAGAGAATAGAACCTGCAGAAGCTACCTCATCCGGGGAAGCTGCATACCCTTTTTTAAAAATCATCTTATGGCAAATATGGCCCAGCCCTCCAAGAGCCAGCATAATTATCGTAAAGGCGATGCAGCGCGTATACTTTCCCACCTTTAGCTGATAGGATGCATTATTGCCATTGAACTGTGCTGAAGGTATGGTTCACTTTTTTGTCTCTGTGCCTCTGTGAAAGTTTCACAATCTCTCTTGTGGCGTTCATGTTTGTTTGCCCCTTGCATGTGGAGGCTTCCAAAAAGCTGCATACTTTATGCAACGTGGTTTTTCTTCTTCTTCTTCTTCTTCTCAAGCAGATTTAGTTGACAAAGGATCTTTGCCTGTCCCTCCTCCTCATGAATCACTGTTGTTTCCATTGATGTTTATACCTCCTAGGGTTGGTGTTGATGACAAGTTTGATGAATCAGAGTCCTTGGCGGACTAAAATAATTATTTTCATTTCTTCAGTCCTGCGGAGCAAACAAAAATCAGGGTTTCAAAGAAACAGTATATACCAGGGCAGGAGGAGATTCTTACGCCGGATGATGCCGTCTGTATTGGCTCCTCTCATGGCGGGCTTGCCTTTGTCCATGCTCGTAGTTGCAGCCCCTACCTCTTAAATCCACTAATACAGCCTCCACATCTCCCCTATGTCCCTCTCCCTCCCTACGAAACCTTGGATGATATAAGATGTCTCTGTGCCCAAAAATCAAATCACCTCCCCCCTTCTCCTTCTTTTATCAAAGACTTTGTGTTGCTCGCCGTAGATTCAGAATATCATTGATTCTCTTATAAGAATATCTGTCAGTATTCCATACAAAAGTTTGCTATGTCATCAGCCCCATCACTACCTCGTTCTTCATTTTCACAAAAGAGTGACGAAAACTGCACCGTGAATCGCGATGATTATAGATTGCAAATGTATATGTTTCTATGAACTCGGGGATGAGAGGTGGCATGTCTTGGGTGAACCAGGCAATGCTTTTTACCAAGAAATAATGTATTTCAGCAAGGATGAACGCTTTTTTGCCATGGCTGGACTAAAACACATTGAAGCCTGGGATCTCAGCGATCCTTCTTGTCCAAAAAGGTTCAAAGATAAATCCTTCTTCCTGTCCAAGGGACCTGGAGACAACAAAAGAATTTTTGACATCTAATCAATTTTCCAGTTACTTAAATTATACTGTGGAATCCTCGGGATCTTTTGTTGGTTCTCAGATTTTATGATTCATATTGTGCTTGGGATGGCACTCCCTACAAAGTCGAGGAAGGTGATCACTATGACTGTTCTAAGGATGTGGGCTGTAAGTGGGAGCCTGTGGAATGCCTTGGTGATCGTGCATTGTTTGTGGGCTGTAATCACTCCTTTTCTCTTTCAACTCGTGACTATCCAGAGCTAAGGGAGAATTCCATCTACTTCACAGACAATTATGAAGAATTAGCCATAAGCAACTATATAGGTCACGATAATGGCATCTTTCACTTGAAAGATAACAGTATCACACCTTATTATCCACTCAATTTGAAGACTAGGAAACTACCGCCAGTTTCAGTACCAGAGCCGGTTTGGGTTGCCCCTAACAAATTGTAGTTCCACAGTGTAGGTGCAAAATTTCTCTCTATTAAAAGAAATAAAAAGAAAAATACAACTCACTCAAAACAAGCAATTATAATACTTAGAGACAAGCGTATATTACTCGATCCTTTTATTGGAGGTCTAAGCCTCTATTAATATGAAACAAGGTGGTGGAATTATGGTAGAACTCGCCTTGCTTGTCCTCCAATTCATTCCATATACAACATTCTTTACAATTAGAATTCTTTGCTTTCTACAATTCTTTCCATGCAAAACTTTCCTTGCACAGAACTTGCTTTCTTTGTTGAATCCTTTGTCTAGCAGGACTGGTCCGTCTTTAACTGAAGTTGGGCTGAATGTAACTTGGTCCAGACGACTCAACCAATGGGCCGGAAGTTCAACATTAGTGACTCTGGGCTGTTGACGTCTTTATTGGGCCTGAATAGGGCTGGATTCTTGTGGCCCATTAATAAAATAAAAACAAAGCTTTAATTATAGCCACGCGGATGACCATCATTAGAGGGGATTTTTCCCTCCACATGTTGCCCCCAATTCCCTCTTTAATTGGACTACGGCTCCTAATTAAAAGGAAATTGAATTTGCACGGCTGCCACTTTTGCAAGAGACGGTTCCAGGAGTGTCTATTGTTATTCTGACTTACGAGCTTCCTCGAGATTTGTTTTTGCCTTCATTGCGCTTATTTCGTTCACTGTGTTCTTCACCTCATCATATCACCAAGTTAGTTCCTCATCTTTTTTTCTGATCTTGCATCATGAGCACTTCAACCACTCACGGCCACATAGAAGTTGTAGATTCTGAATCCACGCCTTCGTCTTCCCTTACTCTCATTAGGGTTCCTCCCCCTAGGGTTTCTAATCCTCTTAAACCTGTGAATGATTCGGTCAATCAGTTAGATGATTCCTTAATTCAGGCTGAGACCTCTACCTCTGGGTCGAATGATATCTTTACTAAGGAAGAGAAAGAGACAATTTGTTGTAGATTTTGAATCCACGCCTTTGTCTTCCCCTACTCTCATTAGGGTTCCTCCCCCTAGGGTTTCTAATCCTCTTAAACTTGTGAATGATTCGGTCAATCAGTTAGATGATTCCTTAATTCAGGCTGAGACCTCCACCTCTAGGTCGAATGACATCTTTACTAAGGAAGAGAAAGAGACAATTTTGTCTGTTCGACGTATCAAGTTCACCATAAATTCGGTAATGGAGGAATTTGAAATCCTTGAGGGAGTAGAAATTGTTGAATACCCGTGGACAGCTGACTTCAGTTCAGGAGAGGGCGTCGGAGAGAATGAGTTACTTTTCTCAGTTGGGCATCTTAACGCCCTTCGATTTCCTCTTTATCCCTTCTACCATTTGGTCTTCAATAAGTTAGGTCTAGCCTCCCTTCAAGTAAACCCTAACTTTCTCCGGATAATCTCGGCACTCTTGGTTCGCCGAAGGCTTGAGAGTCTTGATTTAACTCTCACTGACCTATTAATTACTTACACCATCTCCAGGCATGGGACCGAGCCTGGTCGTTTTTATTTCACCTCTAACCTTCAGCAAAGGATATGCACGGACCTCCCTTCCTTTGAGAAGAAATGGAAAGAGAGGATGATTGTAGTTAAAGGGAAATGGCTTGTGCCTCAATCGAACGCACTCCCAATCCCTCGCAAGTTTGGGAAGTTAGGTATAGAATGCTTACTCTTCCTTCATATCAAGTGCTCTAGCTGCTTCCCATGTAAAGTCTTAATTTTTCGTCATACTTATGAGTTTCTTGGTGTTTTTTCAGTGACCTTCTCCTCATTTGTAGCTAAGAAAAGGCTCTCTTTTCTAGAGGGACAAGTCTGGAGCGACCCACCCTCTGTTGAGGAGTTGCTTACTTCGTCCAACCTCCAGGAAATTGCTTCCAGTGCCGCAACTGCAGGCCTTATGGATTTGGCACTTCCATCCTTCGACAGCTTCCCATTGACTGAGGAAGAAAAACAGAGAGCTGAAGCTTTGAAGAATAGAGCTGCTGAAGCGCAGCCTTTGGTAGTCATCAGATCTACTGAGCATAAACAGGAGGTTGACGAGCCTCCTCTAAAAAAGACAAGGCCGGATCCTCCTTCCACCAGCAAGGGCAAAAATGTCCCCAAGGGCAGGGGGAAGAAATTTAGGGAGACTGACCCAGAAGAAGAGGTTCGGGCTTATGTCCAAGCCGAACATGGAGAACCTTGGAGGCCTGTCTTCTCAAGGGCTGACAAGTCAA